AGGAGACGTAGGACTAGTGAACATCTGTGCAGCACGAGGAGGAAACCAGCCCTCAGAGAGCATAATGAAGGAACCAGAGTTACTTGAGTAAACCTAGGAAAGCTGGGGCATTGAAGGCCCTTAGAAACAACTTGTACCTATTTTGTTTGTTATTCCAGGGTCCAGACTGGAAGGTTCAGTGTTATCATCCATTAGATAACCAAGGGGAGAAGGCCTCGCCCTCCTAGCATGCAGGGCTGCAAACACACCAGGCTGCAAACACACGAGGACATCATTGCCTCCCAAGATGACTGCTTTCTCTCATTCCATTCCGGGCAGTTTGCAAATGCAGTGTCCTCGCCAGGAGCACACCCACTCCCTCTGCACTTCCTATTTTTATCACTAGAGGAGGCACCATCATATTTATTGTTATATTCTATCGGTAGCCTAAATGCAAGTACAGGATAAGCCATATCAGATAGGGTGCTCCTGGCTCCCAGTAACCTCTAGGCTCAACTCAAACTGGTACACGCATTAGAGCATTTATTATGTCACACACCAAGGAGTCCCAAGAATGTGAGAGCCTCAGTTTTAGTGCCCGGATGATTCTCTGGGTTCTTCTTTTCTCTAAATGCTGGACTCATTCTCAAGTTGGTAGGATGATTCTTGGCTTCATATCCAGGCAAGAAAATATCCAGGAAACAAGGGACCTCTGAGGAAGTACTACCATGGCTAACATGCCCATTAGCTTTGGATCTTGAACAAGAATTTAAATTTTTCGTGGAGTGTGACTAGTGATCAATATTGATTGATCCATAGGAAAACTCACAACAGTGTATTCACTTAGGTCACGGACACTTAAAACTTATTTTGGGTATGCTATCCTTCCAGTATTATGTTGACTAAATAAGTTTTTTTTTAAAGAACAAGGTTAAGTGATGGTGATTTTGGAGATAACAATAGTTCATTAAACACAAAGAGCCAAGTACAAGAAGTGGATTCTGCCTGCTGCATCCCTTCCCCGCCAACCCCTCTTCTAAACTGATTACCTGTCAGTCAACAATGTGAACATTCAATGACTGGTTGGAGGTGGGGCAGTGTTCACTACCAGAATGCAAAAAAAAAGCTGCAACCCCCCCTCACCCCCACCAAATCCCTAATTATACCTCTTCCTTTAGACCTACCACCGCCATTTGTACACGTTCTTTCCTTCGAAGCTGACCACGGAACACTACACGGAGTGCACATGAACAACAGAGATTAGTCACTTTTGCCATGCCTTCTGATTCCCATCTTTTTCTAATCAGAGGTTGCACACTGTGACCCAGGATAATTTTTGGCAGAGTGTTTAAAAGAGTTTTCAATTTGCATGCCCTTAAGTGATGCATGTACTTTCCATTCCAGTCGTTAGCTGGCTGGGTCTCACAGATATTTGTGTTTGTTCTCCCAGAAATTATTTCAAGCTTATGAACGTATGCAAACACTTAATACTAGCAGCACTTTCGTTTTTGATTTAGTTGGTTAAAGAGAGACCGAAAATGCAGTATGATATTGAAATTCTTTTATGAACACGGCTGCTTAAAAATTCAATGCTGTCAATCTGGACTACTGCTTGATAAGCACACTACTGCTGAGAACTCAAAAAATAAATTTTTTACTCAGCTGGTGTTTAAAAGTCTAAATTCGAAATGTTAAACCTGGGTTTATAGTGTGCAAAATGAAAGTTGTTGAAAAGGCAAATTGTGAAAGTTGAGAATAAGTTACTGACTAGCTAACTGTAACGGTGACTGTTTGGGCTTGTATTTAGTTCAGTCCTGCTCTTTGACTTGGAGAGAGTGTGGCGCCACACTCAGGCTCCCACTGTGGGGGCGGCAGTAGCCTCCTAAACACTAGCCTCTAAGAGAAACTTCAAGGGCCACATTCGGTGACTTTGAAGGGTGTTCCCTGCAGGTGGTGACATGGTGGTTTAGTGCCTGGTCCTTCCTGAGGAAGCTGGATGAGCTTGGGCAGCAACTGGAAGGTAACCAACCCCCTCTACCTCTGACAGCAGGACAAAGGCATATGAGTCATGGGAACTGCATCGTAGGACTGTTGATCTGGGGCGCTTTTCAAGGGATCCTACCCCAACAGTGTATTTCGCCAAGGCCAGGAGATACTCAGGTGTAAGTACTAATGGGATAAAAGGTGAGGGGTGGTCAGAAGTAGCTGGCAAAGAGGAATTAACAGTTGAAGTAGCCTAGTAGGGGAGCTTCCAAACAACCCATTAAGAAAACAAAATTCAATTTTGAACATTTGTTAGTACCAGAGGGTACAAATGAAATAACTGTTTCTCCCTTGCCTTTCCTCTACCTCCACATCTCCCCATTCCATAGCAGTCATGGAGAAGACTGGGGTGAAGGCGAGAAGCAAGGAAAACCCACTACTCCTCCCTAGTAATAAAGAAGGCAGGCAGCCATCTGCCACCAGGCCTCGCTGGATATGGGAGGAAAGGTAGGGGATCTCATTTATAAGTGGAAATTGGAAGCTGATTAATATATTCCTTTAGAAAGTGTCATTTCTGAACTATGACTATAACTCCAACGAACTGTAAGATTTTGATTGACACAGGGGAAATGAGAACAATTCTGAGACTCTCCAGGTTTTCTTCCAGGAGGCTGGGAAAGAGTAGCCTCATCTGAGGAGCTTTGACAGGACATGGGAGACAAAAGCAACTGCAGTATAATACATCTCACCAATTGTTTTATTTAATATATATATATATGTATGTATGTATGTATGTATATACATATAAAATTTCTTACTGAAGGTTAAATTAAGTATATAAAATAACACTTGTAAAGATTAGCTCTGTTGAGGCTTCCGGACAAGATGGCAATGCAGGCAGACATGGCTCACCTCTTCACACAACCACATCAAAATTGCAACTAAAATATAGAACAATCATCACTCAGTAATGTCAGAAATTGAGTTGAATGGAAGTCTGACAACTACAGAATTGAAGAAACCACATTCATCCAGGCTGGTAGGAGGGGTATGGACATGGAACGGGCTGACCCCACACCCAGATAGGTAAACATTTGGGAGGGCTATCTCAGGAGTGAGGAAACCTGGATACACACCAGGCCCCCCAGTCCAGGGTTCCAGTGCCAGGGAGACAAGTCCCCAAAACTTCTGGCAGTGAAAACCAGCAGGGGTTGAGTCAAGGGGGAAGCTGCTGGAGCCCTAAGCAGTTCATCTTGAGGAACCCAAACACGGACTCACCTACTCAGACTCACTCCCTCTGAGCTCCAGCATTGGGGGAGCAGATTGAAGGGCACCAGTAGTATCAGGGAAAGTATGGCATCCAGGCAAGCAGAGGCCATTATTCCTTTGCTGGGCCCTCCCTACACAGAGCCGGTAGGTTGGTGCCACATCAGAAACTCCATCGACCTGGCTAACACTGTTTGACCCGTCTGGGAGATCCCCAGAGGCTTTAACCCACCCAATTTATGGGCCCGCCCAAGCTGCTTTTCCATAAGAATGGCTGGTCTTGGCTCCCAAATCTTATTAAACAAGTGACAGCTGGCTTCAGTGAGCCCTAGTGGTAGCCAGATTAGAGTCACAGCCTGACTTCACCTGGGAATCTCCAAGTTCCACTAAGTGGCAGCCATCTCAGATTGCTCAGGCGGGGTAGCCCCAGGCAAAACATAGATGGTCGTTGACCTTCTCCTGTACCACCTGAAAACCCCTGGGGACAGCTACAGACCATTTCTGAGCACCACCTCCCTGCCCCTGCATAGCTGATCCTCCATGGAGGGTGGAGGTTGGATGTCAGTGGTTATGGCCAGTCCTTGCAGCTGACTGGCCTGGGTAAATACCTCTCATCGATCTGCCAACAGCAACCATGGCTCAACTACAAGAGGAGGGGCTACGCAGCCCACACAAAGGGTGCACCTTGAGTACCCTGCTTGGGTGATAGGGGAGGCTGTGCCACCGAACCCTACAGGACACCTACTACATCAGGCCACACTGTGTCACACAGTCAAAGCAGGTTTACCTATTACATAGAAACGAATACAAAGAGGCTGAAAAATGAGGGACAAAGAAGCATGGCCCAAATGAAAGAACACATCAAAACTCCAGAAAAAGAGCTAAACAAAATGAAGGTAAGTGATCTATCAGATGCATAGTTCAAAACACTGGTTATAAGGATGCTCAAGGAACTTAGTGAGGACCTCAGCAGCACAAAAAACATCCAGTCAGAAATGAAGGATTCACTAATTGAATTAAAGAACAATTTTCAGGGAAACAACAGTAGAGTGGATGAAGTTGAGACTCAAATCAATGATTTGGAACATAAGGAAGCAAAAACCAACTAATCAGAACAAGAAGAAGAGAAAAGAATCTAAAAAATGAGGATAGTATAAGCAGCCTGTGGGACAACTTCAAGAGGTCCAACATTCACCTCATAGAGTTGCCAGAATGAAAAGAGGAAGAGCAAGAAATTGGAAATCTGTCTGAAAAAATAGTGAAAGAAAAACTTTCCTAATTTGGTGAAGGAAACAGACATGCAATCCAGGAAGAGCAGAGTCCAGATTATGATGGATGCAAAGGGGCCCACTCCAAGACACCTCATTATTAAAAGGTGTCAGGTTATACAGATAAAGAGAGACTCTTAAAAGCAAGAAAAAAAAGTTATTGGGAGGTTGCCAGATGGGAGAGGGAAGGGGGAGAATGGGCGAAGAGGTGAAGGGGATTAAGAAGTACAAATAGGTAGTTACAGAATAGCCATGGGGATGGAAAGTACAGTATAGGAAATGGAGTAGCCAAAGCACTAATACGCATGACCCATGGACATGACCAATGTGGGGGCACTGCCTGAGAGAGTAGGCAGTGCTGGGTAGAGAGGGTTAAAGGGGGAAAAACAGACAACTGTAATAGCATAATCAATATGATATAATTAAAAAAGATTAGCTCTATTAAAAACAAATTAAGATAGTAACTTAATTATAGAGCCATTTAAAAATTAAATATAATTTTACCTTGTTATGATGTAGCCATAAGTATTTTAAATTTTTAAACCTAGAAAGATCAATGACATCTGTCAGTTCCCTGAAAAAGAAAAAGAAAGTAAACAGCTGTGATTAGTTCAGTTATGCATTGGACAGATATATAGCATGGCTTTGGGGCAGCTGAAAAACCTTTCTTTTTGTCCTTTCAAAATTGCTGGCACACTTACATGCTTATTTATAAAATTCTGTCCTTAAAACTTCATTCATTTGGATTAAGATTTTGTTAGCTAGTTAAAACAAATAGTTAAGGGGAATACTTTATCACATTAGTGGAAATTTACACCTCATTATGACTGAAATTATTGGGATCACATAAAAAGAGATTTCACTGGGAGAGGCTAGTGGAAAAAAAAAGAGGGAAAAAATAAGTGCAGAAGACACTGAACTGACAAGTGTGGGCAATGCTATTAGCTCCTGCTTCAACAGGGTCTGCAAGCTTCTTACTGTGGGGTAGTCCAGATCTTGGCCAGACTGGGATTAAGACATGAAGATTGCAGTACACCAAGAGATGGAGACTGAATATCGCGTTTTATTCTCCCTTGGCTGTTTATTAAATAAAGGGTCAAAATATTGCCCATCCTTCTTCTTTTTTAAAAGATTTTATTTATTTTTTGACAGAGGGGGAGGGAAAGAGAAAGAGAGGGAGAGGAACATCAATGTGTGGTTTCCTCTTGCACGCCCCCTACTGGGGACCTGGCCTGAAACCCGGGCATGAGCCGTGACTGAGAATCGGACTGGCAACCCTTTGGCTCACAGGCAGCATTCAATCCACTGAGCCGCATCAGCCAGGGCTGCCCAACCTTCTTTCAGTGTGCAGGACTCTAGCTGTTGTCTAAGTGGTCCTGAGCCTTGTGCTGATGCAGCTCATTCAGCAAAGGGACAGACCTGGGTGGGGAAGGGGAGCTGCCAACGAAGAGGGCAAAGCCTCTGAGTCACTGCTGTGGGCTGGCGTATTCAGATCTCTTTTATGTCTCAGGGCACAACTTGTGGGCCCAGGCTGAGTATGCATCCGTACATGTCTCTATGTATCAAACGCCTGGCACATCCTGTGTGCTAGTGCTTTTCTAAGCAATTAAAAATATTAATGTTAATTGATATTACCTATATTAACACATTTGTGGCAACATCCTTTCATATTTATATTTATTTAACCCGAGCCACTAAGGGAATAATTATTTTCTCATGTTTTTAAAATAAATATACTTTTTAAAATCATGCAAACATTTCCAAAGAAAAGAAACCTGTCACCAAATTTTTTATATTGACAAAATTTAAATCTAAGAAAAGCTGAAGAATAGTATAATGAATACTTATATAGCACTTATAATTTTTAATGTTTTGCCACACTTACACTCACTTTCTTTTACCTATATAATATACCTGTTTATTAGCTGTTAGTTTCCTGTGGAAATCACTTGAAAATAAGTTGCAAACTTATTATTGCTGGGTTTTCTCTCCTAAACACTTCCTGCACATCCCTTAAATAAGGACATTCTCCTGCATAACCACGATACCACTATCACATCTAAGAAAATTAAATTGAATTAATATTATCTAATATATTATTGATATTCAAATTGTACCTGTTGCTCTTATATTTTAGTTTGTTTAAACCCATAGTTCCATCAATATTCATTCCTTGCTTCTTCAGTTGGCAGAATCCCTTAGTGTTAAATTTAGAACAGTCACTGTCTCTCCTTTTTTCCACTTAACACTGACTTTTTGAAAAGTCTAGGACAGTTGTATGATAGAATGTCTCATATTATTGATTTGTCTGATTGCTTTCTCATGATTAAATTCAAGATAGATCATTTTTAGGTGGTAATTACTGCATCACATCAGGAGACAAATGATGCTATTTTGTCCCACTGTTGGTGAAGCCAATTTTAGTTACAGAGTTAAAGCTGTATCTGTCGGGTTTCTCTATTATAAAGAGTCTGAATGAGATATAATATGTGGGGCAAGATTGACAGACTCTGTGTATATTTCATTATCTAACAACTATATAGTCAGTCACTGTAGCTTCTGTGGGTGACCTTTACCTGAATCAGTAGATTTACTTTTATAAATAGCCACTTGTAATGCTTTCCATTTTACATTTATTACCTGGTATTATTCTGTACAGAACATCTGCCACAGCACATGTTCTGAGGGACTATTCAAGAAGTCATTGGTAAGATGCTTTCCATTTCCTAAGAGCAACAGAGACAGGCAAAGACCCCAGTTTACTGGTGTCCGGACTGTGAAATATTCTTTTTTGGACCCAGATGGATTAAACAATAACTTATTATTCTTGGGGTATAAAATGTATTGTCCTTTGGTTGAGAAGACACTAATTACCCATTGTCAGAAGATCAGTATTTCTAACTTTTTTTCTAGTGTTTTAAATCTTTTTGTAATCTACTTGCCCTTTAGGTCAAATCATGAAAGGCTGAGGTACAATCTTTTGGCCACAGAAAATATCTGTTATTATAAAACTAAGTGATCTGTAGAAAGGTTCAAAGCATGATGTATGTCAGAATTATATACCGCCTGTGCCATTCTAAAATATATGCTTTTAAAAATATTAAATTGGCCAGCTATTTATTTTCTTGCTCCCAAGACATTCTGGGCCACTACAAAGATAAATGTTTTTCTCTTCAGTAATAAACTGAGAAATATTTATATACAAGAGAAGACACATGTTTATTAATAAAGGATTTCCTCCAATTATCAGAGGTAAAGTTATTAATTTCATTGATAAAGTATAACATGTTCTTTAAATAATGACTTTCTATAGTTTAAAGATGAGTAGGAAGGTAAAAGTTTATTTTAAAATAATACATAGAATTCATGGAGATAAACAACACGAAGGGAGGAAAAGGAGAGCAGGAATAGGGTCACTGTTATTAAAACGCCAACTGTGACTGTGCATGTGTCACTTGTTGGCTAGTAAATGCTGTCAGTCCAATCCAACCAGCGACTTCCTCCTCCTCTTTCACTTAAGTTCTTGCAAGCACGGTGGCTGCTCTGTGTAGCACAGTGACTTTACTGTGCCACCTGGGGAGTCGGAGTAGAATCAGAGGAGGTTGTTGCAAAAAGGAGAGTAGTTTCCCACTTACCAGTAAAATTAGTATAGGGGTTATTAGCTAGGGGTTATTTTTATAGTATGGAAGTATAATGAGTCATTATTCTCTAATAAAAGTAATAATATTAACTGTTCTAATGTTCACTGGGTGCTTACTATGTATTGGTCCCTCACCTACCTTCCACTAACTCATCTAATCCTCACCACGACCTTGTAAAGTAGGTGGTATTGTTATACGTATGCAGGCAACCGGGTTTCCAGGTAAAATACAGGATGCCCAGTATGTGAATTTCAGAGAGACAACAAATGCAGCGTGGGACATACTTATACTAAATTATACATTCGTTTGTTTCTCTGAAAGTCTCATGTAACTGGACAGTCCATATTTTCATTTGCTAACCTGACAAAGATCATCCAGCTGGAAGAGACAGAGCTGGGACTCAAACTTAGCACATCCATTCGAATACGCTGACAGAGACTGTGAGTCCCACGAGTGGCAAAGCCATTAGAGTGTGGTACTCACCCATTCAGTCCTTGCAGGGAGGGGGACTGGACAAGAACATCTGAATCTGTGAAACATTATGATCGACACTCTTTTATTTCTTACATAAATAGAATACACTTACTGTTGGGAAAGGAACAGCTCAGAGACATCAGCGTCCCTCTTGTGGCCACATATCCTTAGTTGGTCTTCAACTGCCTGATAACATATAATTAATCTGTCAAGGTGCATTCCACTGAGCAAAAGTACTGAGACATTTGCAGTCAATAACAATAATGTCTACAGAAGATCAAAGGAAAGGTGAAAATGGAGGCAACCACTTTAAACCGATAAATTCTAATACTACAATTATATATTATTTAATCATTTTGCGGTTGAATTTCACTATCCTTAATCCTGGGAACAGATGTGTAAATAAATTTTAATCAAAGAGAATAAGTGTGTGTTTGTACATATACTCAAAAAACAAGTGCTTGATTCTCTACAAGGTAATCTGGTATTTAAATATTCTTAAATGCTCCTTCAAACACAAAGAATTCATATTTGATAGGTTTTCCGTATTTACAGAGGATACTCAGTATCAAGGTTGGAGGTGAAGGAAGTAGAATATAATGCACATTGTCATATGGACTCTTGGCACCCTGTAATTCTCAATAAATGTCAGACAAATGAATAAATGAGTGAATACACATCATTTCCCTTTCTTTGCAAAGGAATCATGTCTTTGCTTTTCATGAATTACTAACATGGTTGAACCGTGGGAATTTTTGGTGAAGAAGCAGCAATTTTTATTCCCATAGGTTTTGTTTTGAAAATGTAAATCATAATTTTCCATGAGGGACTAAACCTCACAAGACACAACAAAAGTGAACAGTATAATCGTTGTACTTCTGGAATCTGACAAACATTGTAATTATCAGAGTCAAAACAATCACAAAATTTCAGCTGGGATTTGTTGTGGGTGGTGAGGTTGTAATGCCAGTAAGTGATTTATGAAACTTTGACAACGGTTTTGGTATTTAGCAGAGGACTTTCAGACGAGTTAGATTTAATGAGAGGGGCAAATATCTAAAGAAGCAACGAAAGTAGATATCACGGGGATGGGGAGCCGCTGCTAATTGAGAGTCCTAAAAACCTTCCTTGTTACCCTGGTCCACAAGCTGAATCTTGAGGCTTGGAGAATTCATTGGCCCAGGTAGAGGCATTTCCATCAAGGTATTTTGTTACTCTGACAAGCAAGCTGGATCTGGGGCTTGGAAAACCCAATACATCAGGCTTATACATCTTCATCTGGGTATTTTAACGGAAACATCTGAACTTCTATGGTATAGTAGAAACACATGGTCAACTGCAACTTTGCCAAAGCACTGAGATGTTAAAGTCCAGCCAAAGCACAATTAAAATGTTGCAGCTATCTATTAAAATGATAAATGTGCATTTAACTTGATATGTCATTCCACGTCTAGCACTCAGAAGAACAGTGGTACATACACACAAAAACAAAATATGAATATTATTGCTTACTTAAGCATATAGTATCAGAGTTGTCTAATATGCCCCATTAATTGGTATATGGGTTAAATGAAAATATAGCTTCACAACAGAATACTGTATAGTAGCTTAAAACTATACGAGATGGATATCTAGACATATACTGATATTGGAAATCTATTTTTAAGTAAAAATGTCATTGGCAATATATGTATTTCAGTAACAATATTTTTGTTATCAATGACATTTATATGTACATGAAACACACACATTCCAAATTGTTAACAACAGTTATTATTGGGGGACTTTCACTTTATAAAAAATAAAGTTTTTAATAATGTTTGAATATTTCACAATAAGCACATATTATGTAATCAGAAATGAATACACAATTTGAACATTTTAGCCATGGAATGACTATTTAAAGACTTAAGTCAAAATTTGAAAATTAAGAGATGAAAAGGTAAATTGAAACTATCCATATAATTTGTAAACCATTGGTATAATCAATTGTTTGTTGATACAGATTTTTATCACAGTTATGTTTCTTTTCAACCTAAAATTTCAACTAAATCTGGTAGCAAAGTGCCAAAGTGCCAAAGAACACGAAGACTCGCCAAGAAGTTTCAGGTTTCAGAGAACCTGAGGTGGAGCAGTTCCAGTTTCCAATCAACACACAGCCTCACTAGCAGAGTAGTCCTTTCATCTAAAGAAGCACAACAAGCATTCCTTCCCTGGAGTATTTTTGTTTAATTGTGGTAAAATGTACATAAAATAGAATTTATTACTCTAACTGGACAGTTCTGTGGCATTAAGCATATTTACATTGGTGCACAGCCATTGCTGCCATTCATTTCCTGAAGTTTTTCATCGACCTCAAATGAAACTGCACTCATTAAACATTAATTCCTCATTTCCCCCTGGCCCTCATCCCCTGGACATTAATTCCCCATTCCCCCTGGCCCTCAACACCCTTCTATACTCTGTCTCTAAAAATTTGACTACTCTGGGTACCTCCTATAAGTGGCATGAGTTTTTGTATTTTTGTGATTGGCTTATTTCACTCAGCATAATATCTTCAAGAATCATCTATGTTTTAGTGTGTTTCAGAATTCCCTTCCTTTTTTAAGGCTGAATAATATTCTACTGTATGTATGTATATACCACACCTTGTTTGTCCACTTACCCATCAATGGACACTCGGGCTGCTTTCACCTTTGTGAACAATGCTGCTATGAACACAGCTGTACGAACATCTGTTTGAGTCCCTGGTTTTGCTTTGTTTGCATACGTACTCAGAAGTGATCCATGCTGGATCATATGGTAGGTAGTTCTATGTTTAACTTATTGAGGAGTTGCCATGTCATTTTCCATAGCAGCTGCACATAATAGCATTTTTATTCAGATGAACATTTTGAAAATAACATAGCCTGACAGATACTGAGTGACAGACTACTGAGTTCTTAGCTTAGTTCAGGCTGTGATTAGCCTGTGACTAGATGGTAAATGTAGCGATGAACTAGGTAAGGCGACTGCTCTTAGCAGGAGAGGTAAGGGACAAACAATTCTGTAAAAAAAGGCTGTAAGTGTTAAGGGCTATGCCAAAAAGAAAATATGCTCTGGTGAATTCAGAGGAAGAAGAAATGACGGCCAGCCTGGGAGCTCCGAGATTTCGGGGTGGGACTGACAAGGGGGTGGACCTGAAAGGTGAGGAGAAATTGGAAGCAGAATACTGGTGGGTGGGTGTTTCAGTCAGAGGGGAGTAAATACAGAGGGGAGAAGACAAGGGGGAGAAAATTCGAGGAGTGCAGGGCAGTGCAGCCTTTGGCTATAGTGAAAGGCACATGGAAGACAATTGTGAGAAATAATATTAAGAAAAGGTGGTTTGGGGTCAGATTGTTTGTCCTAACTTTGAAATTTAGGATCAAAGAATATGCTCAGTACATAAACAAAATGTTTATAGGCCTAGGAACTCTAACGTAAAATCACACAGTTTATATAATTTATAATTCAAAATTAATTTAGTTTTATAATACATACGACATATGCATATGTATATGAAATATACATACTAACTGCATAGCAAAATCATCGTTAAGTCCAACAAAGTTCTGATTTTTCCCATGACAATACATCATGCTTTTAAATCATATCCACTATCAAATTATTTTAAAATCAGAATTTAGTCCTTTGTTGGACTAAATTCTGGCACAACGGGGAAGTAGGACAGGATTTTTAAACTGGAGAAAAGATAAGAAAAAAAAGCTAGGCTTCAGGAAGGTGACTTGCAGAGACATGTTTAAGGGCCCGGGGTGCAGAGAGAACGCAGACAGGAAGCAAGGCTGCCTCTGGAAAATCAAAGCAAGAGCCGATGAGCCTGCCCTAGGAAAGTGGCAAGTGGGAATGAGCAGTGAGCAGATGTGTCATGGGGCGTATGGGGAGAACTGACGGGAACTGGCAAGTAACTGGAGGCAGAGCATAAGGGCAAGGGAAGTCACAGATAATGACGGTAACGTGAATGACATGATGACGAGAAAGTGACTGTTCGGATCAACTCAGCCTAGAAATGCTGACATTGAGGTGCTGGTAGAACAAAGAGGTGTCCAGCAGATAACTGCAAACAGACGAGGGGACCTCCTCAGAGATGTCAGGGCAGGTATGCACGGCTTTGCAAGTCAGGCCAGCCCTGAGGAGAGAGTGGGACTGAGGTAAGATTATTGCCTCTAAAGAGGTAAGATACTCCCTTCAGAAAGGGGAGGAAGGAAGCAGGCTTGGTAAGGGGACAGAAGAGGGGCGGTTGTAAAGTTAGCAGGAGAAGGAAAAAGACGGCAAGAACGGAGAAGGTGAATTTCAAGAAGGTAGAATTCGAATCTGTAGTTGCATAGGGTGGGAGAGGATATTATTGCCCAGAAAGGTATTGCATCTGGGGAGGAATTTCAGTAATCGAATAAGAAGGGAAAGTCATTATTTCAAATGAATTGGTTAATAAACCAGGAAAAAAAATCCAACACAGAGCTGGGGTGTGGACAGTGCCGGAGCAGGGAGGACAGCAGCAGCGCCCTCCACTGGCAGATGAATTCGGATCTAGAGAAAGCAGAAAGGAGAAGGATGCCTGTATTCAACTCAACTCTCTGGAAGAAAATATCCTGACTAGTCATGTACTGTAATAACAGATACATTCCTATACTTTCATGCAACACATATGTGCCACAGGTTAGTTAGGACTTAGCTTTCAATTCATGTCAGAAATCTCAGCTTTGATTCATCACAGCAGTCCCAAGGTTTCCCAGACAAGTCCCAGAACCCCAGAACACTTTGCTAGCTCCTATGTTGCATATTTTTGACATGTTTCCCACTCAAGTATTCCTTAAGCCATTATCTTAACTGCCTTCAATTGTTTGCATTATCCATCAAAAACATTACTCAATTTGCACTTTAAGGGAACAACATTTTAGGGGTTTTATATAAATATATATCTTTATGTAGATGAATATTTATTTATTATTTATATATAATGTTGGAGAGTCAAGGCCCAAATTTATGGCTTTGTTATCAAATCTCTAAACTGCCATAGTTATATATGCAGCAGATGGTAAGTACAGGTAGGAAAAGGTCCTAAGTCTATTAGTGTGGATCAGGGGAAGCCTCAAAATCCTACTGAAGAGATTACAGACCCCGTCGCTCCCCACCCTCTCTGCCACAGGCCT